AAAAAAAAAAAAAAAAAGGCATGAAACCCTAATCCGTTCCCACAGTCCAGTAAACGTGAGCTGGACAAACAGTGGACAATGGCAGTAAAGCTTGGGGCTGGAACAATGGCTGCAACTAAAAACATTAAAGGCTTGCTGACTCACAGTTCCTACTATCAAGAAAGATCCCATGTGGTGTTACTGCCCAGAATCCTGAAGATGCTGAAGGTGAAAAATTGTGATTATTATTGCACCCTGAGATAGGGCAGGGAAAAACGGGGCTAAATGATGATAAAAAATGAAAGGCAGTGACAAATACCGGTGTTGATTCTGTCCAAGGTCAGGAGGCAGAGGCTGAATAATCAACCTTCCTTCTGCTGGACATTTTGCTAAGATAAATTCTGTAATTTTATTATAAATACCACTTAAATTCTTTTTGTCAGCAGGCCACGATTTCAGACGTCATCCCTGCAAATTCTGCAACAAAGCCTCCCAAGGTAGGAATATCTGCAGCGTGGTGCCAAAGAGATACCCACAAATGAACTCAGTGTGCAAGCTTTCAAAACAGTGCATAAAACTTCTTTTATTGTTATTTTTATTATCACTAGGGGCCAGGCTGGCCCTGCAATTCCAAGCACTGGGACAAAATGAAGCACTGCAGCAGCGGATGGCTCTAGTTGGCCTTTATACCTCAAAATCCTGGACACCTAAAACCTGCAACTGGAAACCTGCTGCAGGACTCATTTCACAGCTCCCAAATCCCCATTTTCTCTGGTGATATGTACACTCCTGTGGTAATGTGTGCTGTCACAACTTTATCCATTAAAAAAACAACTCTGGCAGACTGTAAAATGAGAATCTTCATGGTTACTTGCCAAACCATGAAAGCTGGAGGTTTAGGCTGTAATTAGACCAGAACCCATGGCCAGAAGAAGCTGCAAAGGACAGTATTCAAAAGGCACTAACATTTACAGCATCAAGAATATAAAGAATTATAACATTACCAAAAATACTAAGCCTTTTGTTTCAAACCAAAGCCTTTCTCTTCAGTCAGGATGAGATATTATATCACACACACACATCACTCCATAACTCTGGAATGACCTGAAAAAGGAAAATCAGAGAAAACAGAAATAAGGATTCTCATCCAGAAGGACTTTAGGTAATTGTAATATCCCAGCAGATTTCAAACTATATCCATAACACACCATCACCAGTTCTTCCTCAAAAATTGTGCTGCTATCCCTGCAGAAATTAAGAAAGCAACTACCCTGGCATGGAGCCTTATCCTCACCTTGCTTGCCCACACCTTTATCTCCAGAAAATTGTGTTAATTAGTACCACCAACATTCCCTTTCCAACATGCAATGCTGTTGTTTTGGGGGTTTTTGTTGGTTTTGGTTTTTTTTATTTTTTAAATTATTACTGCCCTGTAATTACAGGACATCATTAAAAACCCCCCAAATGTTCAAACAAGCCACACAGAGAACAGGCATCCACACTTTTATATTGAGAACAACACTAGAAAAGAATCTCAGATTATTAAATCAGAACTTGAGATAGAATGCTGTATCTACACAACATGCAGCTCTGACAGCTTGTGAGCAAATATATTAATATCAGATCCAGGTCTGTAGTTGCATTATTATTATAAGTGAAAGATTCCATTTTTAAAGCTTTTTTTAATAATACCTTTATGTGGAGATAGGCTTTAAAACTTTATATTCAAAAAGGGATGTAAATGCATACAGAAAAGATGTCAACAAAACACGACTTATGGATTTAAAACCTCAACAATTCAGATTATTTGATCTCTTTCTTTATCTTAAAAGGGGTATCAGCTCTTACTCTAAAACACTGTGGAATATTAGGGTGCAGGTAGACTTCTGACAGATGGCCCTCCCTTTATTCCAATAGAGGAATTTGTATTTCCAGCCAAAGTGTAAATAAGCACTCTCAAACACATTGCAGGTTTAAACTCTCTCTTGCATCTCTTCAGAAACCAAAACCTTTGTAAACCTGACCTACCGGAAAATTAAACCCCCTCATTTCATCTCAACATAGCCTATTTAAAAAAAAAAAAAGATGGATAAAAATGTGCTGCCTTTCCAGAAACCCTAAAGACACAGACCAAAACATGTACTTCACTCACCAAGAATAACCTTGCAAAGCCAGGGAGTTTAAATCAGTCTTTATTTTATTTCTCTCACTTGGTGATTATCCACAAAGCAAGTTGGGATTGAACAGATTCTGTGTGCGTACTAGAACACACTATTGCTTTTAGATTTCATACTTCAACAGCAATCAGATCAAAGAGTCACATAACCAACCAATGCACTCCAGACTTTCCTCACACATCCATGGGTAAATTATCACAACCCTATTTCAGGAAAATGTAACGGGATTCAAATGAGCCCAAGCCACCTCTACGGGGTTGATTTTGAAGCAAACTGTTGCATCCACAGATGTTTTTCTGATTTATTTCACCCATTTCTGGTCATTACAGATGGTCATTCAAACCTGGAATGGATTACAGCAGACAAGAAATGGAAAGGAAGAATGAAGACAGAACAGGAATTGCTCTCAGAAGCTTTAGCAAATGGTGGTCAGAGTTCACCTTTCTCCGCCGAGGCCTCAAAATTCACTACCTCTTGTACTCATCACATCTTGTAGAAAGGAAAATTACAAGTCTTCTGGATTGCAACGACTTCAGTGGCCTAGCAGTAATTAATAAAATTCCATATTGCACAGGTTCAGCTGAGAGATGATCAGGAAGGAGCCAAACAAGCTTGAGCGTAGTCCAGGCAAGTCAGACATTTGCAAGTTCAATGTTTTCAAACATTCCTCCCTAACTACTGAGCAATAGCTAGGGGTGGTGAGTGAATACAGCAATGTATTTTTAAAATGTCTTACTAACTTAAACCTTTTTTGGGCAAAAATTTTCCATTTTTAACTGCCCTTAATACATCAAGTACTCCTGCAAAACATCCAGCTCCTTGGATAACAGATTTTAGGAAGATGTTAGAGCAGGGAAAGCCTGGAAAGCTTGTATCTCATGAAATTCAACAGTGATTTGAAATTTTGATGGATTTTTTTCGCCCCCCCCTCACCCCCCACCTTGGTAACACTTCAGTTGGGTTGAGCACACACCTTCCACTGGTGTTTGCTGACTGCAGTGTTCCTCATTTTCCACGTGACTGATCTGAGAAACACAGGCAAAAACAGCAACATGCAAAAAGGTCGGGGGCTCAGCCACTCTGGATGCTGCCAAGAAGCAAATTCTGAACTATTCAAATCCTCAGAAGGCAGAATTATAACAATTCACATTAGACATCTCACACTGGTTAAGGCAAATCCATCTTCTTGGGCTTTAACTCCTTAGCTGTAAATAAGGTTTAAAAACACCTGTACAGTATGTTGGGAATGTTTCACTGTGACAACCCTGAACTCCACGGAAATTCCCACAACTCTGTTGCAAAAAACAGTTAAAAAAGACACAGAAGAAAGCACACAACTACACATCCAACAGCACCTTTAACTGTATCTCATTTAATAAACCACATCAGGCCCATACAAGATATGAAACAAGATATTCAGAAAAATACAGACTCATAGAATAAGGGGCTCCATCAGTATATCCACAGGTATCAAGCTGCATTAAAGACCTATTAGACAACCCTAAACTTCATATATCCCAGTCTGAAAACCTGGTTGACAAAATATTTATCGTTAAATGCGTGTATATAGGCACACATTTATATAATAATTTATTATAATAATATGATTTTGCTATAACAGTCACTGGCCACTTGATGGCCGAAGATCCTTCTCCTCCTGAGTTGAGCAAGAACAATTTTGTTCGATACCATCTCTGGAGCAGCACTTTGCATGTCACTGAGGCACCAAACACTTCCAGTAACCAAATGCTTCAGAGACACTTTGACCCCCTCACAACCTCTCCCTTGCCTTTACACGTATTTTTGCAAACCAAGTACAGTGGTTCCAAAAAAAGGCTGCATTCAAGAACATTAACATTTAGTTTCACTTCTCTCTGTACTATCATTCAGAGTAAAACTGACTCAAAATACCTTTGCTGAAAACCACAAATTATGTTTTGAGTCCCCCTGGATCTTGGTCTAAAAAAGGTAAAGTTAATCACAGATGATGAATAAGAGGCACCTTTCATTAATTTGAAGTAAACATAATACTTCACTTTGTAAAAATAAACTCATTTGTGGGTGCAGAGACAACTTTTTCAAATCTAGATTTCTCTGAGTGATTATAAAGTCAAATTAGCTCTGTCTTCTCTAGTAATGTTATCTTTTTGGTTTGTGCCCACTTCTTTATCAAGATTATTTTATTTTGCTTCTGTTTTCGGGTGCTTGCAGTTTGGTGCTTGTTCTGGTTGCCAGTGGCTTGGCTGCTTAAAAATTAAAAGCCAACTGTACTTTAAACTGCCCTGTCAAGGTCTCAAATGAGGAAACAAGCAACAAATGAACTCTACCTTAATGCCACTGAATTTCAAAGAAATTCACCACGTAATTAGGAGAGCTGTACCATGAGTGCCTGTGTTCTATACTGTCCAACAATTTCATATATATATATATATATTTGTGAACTCTTATAATCTGTTTTCCACACAACTCCCTCCCCCACTAGATGGCCCTGCCACCCCCTGTGTGTATCAGAGATGTTTAAAACAACTAAACAAACAAAAAAAGGGTCTTTAGAGTATCTTTCAGGTACAACAATTGACTCTATTTCTCTTCAACTAACACAGTTTAAACACATTTAGCTCACAGCATCTATTTACTGGAACGAGACTAAAGGGTTCATTTTCGAGGCTGGAAAATAAAAAGCCACTCTGTGACAAAAGGTACTAATAAATACATTAAATTACAATCACAGCTCCTCATGGGCAGGGATCTTTTTCTTCCTCCTTCGCTTTCTGACTTCGTTTGTCATTTTATCCTTCACCCACAAAAATGTTTCCTGGGAATTGATTATAATTTTACTTCACCTACAGCATCTACACATTGTGTAAACTCAATAATCCGCATACACAGATTTTTAAGCAACATAATACATCCTTTAAATAAGGAAACTTTGCAAATGCAAGTGTTTTCCTTCTGAGGAACTAAAGCAAATATTTCTATTTAACAGGTTTACACACTCCTGTTTCAGTGACCCTAAATAAAAATTGGAGATAACAAATATTAAATGACATATTGCAAGTCCAATGTTTTTCCCCTTACCCTTTCATATTTAGCACCTCTTCACTGTTTTGATGATTTTTTTTTTTAAATAAAAAGTAGATAAACACTTTTCCAGTTCTGTTCTTTTAATGCTTTTTCTTTGGTCACCCACATTTATCTTCATCTGTTGTATTCAAAACGTTAGTGAAGATCTTTCAGTGCCAGTTCTAAAATCAGACTGAATATTTAGCATTGAACAAACCTAAAAGAGAATACACAAAAGTGTTTCGAAGTGTTTATTTTCCAAGAAGAACGTTCCACAAAACTCCCAATTTCTCCTCTTCTGGCCCCACTTGTAATTCATTGTCAAAAAAATATTTTCAACCTGCCTTTTAAAGAATATTTTTTTAATCTTATTTTTCATTTGCTACTGGTTGGGAAATTTTCAGCTATCAAGTATTTTCACTTAATTCACTTCATTTCAAGTTTCCTACGATTTCAGCAGGTGAACAAAAATTGCTCCACACAAATACCGTGTTTTGGAGTGGATTTAGAAACTAAATATTTTCAGAAATTAATCAATGTGCTGAAATAACAACTTGATCCTACAAACCTGTTTAAATTTTCCTCTGATTTTTTCCAGATCTTCCTGCAGCTTATCATAAGTGGGGTCTTCGTATGGGAATTTCTGAATCATCCCTATTAATGACTCCAGAGCCTTTATCTTTTTGCTAGAAAAATAAAACAAAAATAAATCAAATCCAAACAGAAAGGCCAACCACGCTACTACAGAAGTTTTTTTCAATCCACCAATGTGAAATTATACTGATTTCTGAATTAATAATTCAGAGCACAGAACCCAGCCCTCCATCCTTCTTTAATTCAACTTCTCCCATTTAGCTCACTGACAGTGTGTGTTTAATACACATTTAAGCCATAATTAGGAATTAAACTGTAGCACAACTGACAAGAGTTAAGGTTGCCTTTTTAACTTACCTGCCCCCCAACTGAGAAATATTCAAGAATCTTTAGAGGTACTAATGAGATGACTGGGACAAATGCAGAAGTGCCATAAAAAATGCTTACCAGAACACACACCAAAATGGTTGAAAGCATAGTGGCAATTCCACCAGATTAATCAAAACTGGACAGGGAAAAAAAAAAAAAGATACGAAGAAAAGAAAGAAAGTCACGGAAAAAAATTTACTTTTGACCTTTTTAAGCTTACCTGCTCTTTTCATCTGTGCATTTCTGGAGCAGGCAGCGCCACGTCAGTGCAAACCCAAGGTAGCAGCCAATCTGTGAATTTAAAAAAGTGCCATGAGGGGTTTTGATGCTTGTTTTTGCAGCACTTGTCAGTTAAAGCAGCCCGTGCACAGCCCTATGAAAAGGTACCAGGGACTGAGGGAGCCCCCCAAATCAAGGAGGAAACCACACTTTGTTTTTAATTCCTAAATAAGTTTATCAGCCCAACTGAGGAGGAATCAGAAAGAAGCGGGAGGAGCTGACTGAGCCCTGCTGCCAGAATTCTTCAGTACAACTCTGGACACCAAATGGAACAGGAATATAGGGAAGTCCTTCAATGCACCAGCTGGACAAGTCAGCTGAAGTCCCTTTCAAAAGTGACTCAGCCTTCCCACAAAAACAACACAGACATCTGAAACTAAAAGTCAGCTGACTTGAACAGATTAAGTCCAAGGACAGACACACTTCAATTATAATGTTTTACTTGAATTCACTATCAAGCAAGGCGAGCATCAGATCAGTAATCACCAAAGACACAAAAGACACAAAACAGGCTGACAGGTCTAAGGTTACCCAAGTCACCCTCTCATTTAACTGTATAATCCTACTGCCCTCTGGAGCTTTCCCAATATAAGCAGATTAGAGCACTTCTCTATTACGGCCTGTCTGGGACCATTTTGTATAAAACTATCGAGCTTTGGAGACTCCTGTTGAACGTCTCTTCGTGCAATGATGGAACTACATCATTGCAGTGTAAATGGGAAAAATATCTAATCGCTGCACCACTCTGTACCACGCCCAAATCCAACCCAAAATTTTGTGATGGCCATTCTTTCTGATTGGAGTTTACTTTTTTCATAACAAAACGGATTAATGCCATTGCCACTGTCCCTTCTGCAGGCAATCGACTTCCTGACACCTGAAAGCACCAAAAGGGCAAATGGCCAAATTACCCAGAGCTCTTCAACAGATCCAACAGATTTAGATTGGTGGTGCTGTGCTCGGAATGGGGCCTGCCATGAAAAGTTCGCTACAGGTTCCCAGCAGAACTGCAAAAATTCTCAGGTCCAAAAAAACTTGGAACTACAATTTCACAGCACTGTGCTGTGACAAACTGGAGCTGGATATATGGGACAAGTTGGGGTGCCTCAGCATCACTCTCCAGCCCTGGCATTTCTAGGAATGGTTACTGACTCAGGAATCACAGAATCACCCCTTCATGATTCCCCATCCAAAGTGCCTCAAGATTCCATGTTTTTGCCTGTGTTGAGCCACATGAGGTGGTATGGGGGGGCCTTTAGCCACAATTTTGATAAACAAAAATAAATGCACAGTTCGTAATGTTTTCCTGAGCAAGCCTGTTTGAATTTATTTGTTTCTTCTTACCCTTTCAGGAAAAAAAGCCCCAGCGAAGTTCCAAACAGCAAAGAAGCTTAGAAAACGTAAACACACGTACTCAACTCTCCAAATCAAAGTATCACCTATAAACTAGTTTTATGGGCCCTCCTGGACACCTACAAGGCAGTGTCACCTCAGACTGATGGCTTCAGGCCTTGCCCAGCAGTTTCTGTGTTACAGTAATTCTCTAATGACAAAGGCACTGCAATCGTGAAGATTTTCCCATTTACCTCCGACCCGATCTTGGCACCGTGCAGCGACCCGTACCTCCTTCCCTCAGCAATCCCAATGTGGCTGCCTTCAGCATATCCCTCCTGATACCCCTCACCGTGGAACCTGGGAAGGCAGAAGTGTGGTTCCTTTAATCTCCTGCTCTCCTATCGAGCTCAGGCATGGACACCCTCCAGCCCCCTCAATGTCTTTCTTGTCTCGAGGGGCCCAAAACTGACCCCAGGGTTCAAGGAGGGGCCTCAGCAGTGCCCAGTCAGGGGGGCGGTCACTGCCCCGGCCCTGCTGCCACACTGTGTTCAGCTCCAGGCCCTTTCCCAAGCTTTCCATCCAGTGGCACTGGATCACTTGCTGTCACCCAAATGCTGGGCCACCATCGCTCCACCCTGTCCAGGTGAAGCCACAATCATTCGCCCTCTAATATTCCCAGCCAAGCCCATCCCAGCCCGCCAAGAACAAGGCTCCAGCTCTGTGCTCCCACCAGGATCACCCTCCCCGCCCCCCCCCCCCTCCGGGGAGTGTTCCCACTGGAAGCGCCCAGACCCCGGAATCACGGAACACGCCGAGCTGGAAAGGGACCCACAAGGATCACCGAGCCCAAGCCTCGGCCCTGCACGGGACACCCCCAAAATCCCACCCTGTGCCCGAGAGTATCATCCAAACGCTCCCTGAGCTCCCTGCCGGCCTTGGCGCTGTGCCCACTGCCTCCAGGGAGCCCGCTGGCATCCGGCTGGGATCCAGCGCCC